TTACTTTAATAAAACACCTATATTATTTTGAAGTTCACAAAATTTTCCCTTTCTCCCTCTCCTTTTATGGCTTTCAGCTACCATGCTGATTAAAATAAAAGAAACAGCATGGGCAAATGTTGATATATAGATTACATTTACTTAAATCATAGTGCCAAATATACCGTGTTTCTCCAACAATACGGCCTCCACCAATAAGAAGGCCCAGCATAATTTCTAGGCATGAGGTGAAATTAAGCCCCGCCCCCAAAATTTAGGCCTATTTAAACCATGCATTTCCCCGCCATTTCTCACATCGTTCGTTAGAACTACATGAGGTGAAGAGAAATGGGGGGGAAGGACGGGGGTGGAGTGGGGAGAAAGCTTGCCTTTAGGAGAGCCCTGCAGGTAGCCTAGGCTAGAATACCCCGATCTACTACCGATAGAACATCAGCTGATAGAAGCTCCCCGAAGGCAGAGTCAACAGCCACTTCGATTGGCCAGTAGAAGCGGCCTCGGGGCGAGCGCCCACGCACACTCCCTCGCTGCAAGGCCGCTTCTATCGGCCAATGAAAGCTCCTCAAAGGCAGAGTCACCAGCCGCTTCAGGGCGAGGCATGGCTACCCGCATCCTCTCACCATGAGGCAGTGTCTTTTGGGTGATGGAAGCTCCCCAAGGGCAGTCACCAGCCACTTTGATCGGCTGGTAGAAGCAGCCTCGGGGCGAGGGGAGTGTGCATGGGGCGCTCTAAGTGGGGGAGGAAATTAAGTCATCCCTGAAAAGACGGCCTAGCTGTTTTTTCAGGGGTCAAAAAAAAATAAGGCCTGGCCTTATTTTGTGAGAAACACGGTAGTTACCTGGATGGAAAATGAATTATATTTTTTGCTGCACATTGAATTGGTTCTACTTATTTGAAATTGTGCCTCTTTGCTACATCTTCAATAACCAGAGAAAAAAATGGAATAGAATAGAATAGAATTCGATTCTTTATTGGCCAAGTGTGATTGGACACACGAGGAATTTGTCTTGGTGCAAATGCTCTCAGTATACATAAAAGAAAAGATACATTCATCAAGAGTCAAGAATCATAAGGTACAACACTTAATAACACTCATAGGGTACAATAAGCAAAGTGTATCTGCAATATGAAAAGTGAGGTGCTCAGAATCCTCCAGGATGACAAAATGGTCCACTTCTTTTTTTATGAAAAAGTATTTTGCATGGATGACTGTGAAAAGTCAATGAAACAGCAACTTTGACACTGAAAAGTGAGCTACTACTTTGCTGAACTATATTGAATAGGCACATCAGTAATATGTGATGAAAATAATATATGTGAAAACAATAAAATAAGCATCTGTAACCTGGATTGCCTTGCCTGACTGCCTTGCTTGCTTACCTATCTATTTCCATATCATTGTAGCTATTTTATTCATCTCATGCAATGAATGTCATCTCATGAAAGCTTATGCCTTTTAATTAAGCTTTAATTAAATTTAATTTAAATGCTAGTTGGAAAAGGTGCTGCCAGATTCCTTCTGAGTTTTAGTCAATCGGTGATCCTTCCTCTTACTCATGTTTTCAAGCTGCTTTGTACATTAGAGAAATTCACTTAATTCTTAAAAGGCATGTGTTAGTGCCAGTTTTAACAAAAAACAATATAAATACGTACAGAAAATTAATAATAGCATACTGGCATACCCATAGTTCTGCACTATAATAAAGAGCTGTCAAATTCAAATAATCATGAGTGCCATTATTATCATTAGCCCAATGGCTGCAGCTCTAAAGCCTATTCATATACTGATGCAAAGGTTTGTAGTGAGTAAAAATGAATATAATGAGTAGAATCATGGATGCTATTAAATGTAAATGCATTTAATAAAATAATTACCACAAATCGGAACTATTGGAGAAATAGAACACTGCATTTTGACCATTTAGTTAGAAATATTTTTCACTGATCATAAAATTAAAATTGGTTTTTATTATTCAGTTTATAAGTAATATATTTATGACTTTAAGATTCTATCTCGATGATAATCTAGGAATTCCACTAAGTAGAACTGCCAAAATACTGTTTTGATTCTCTTTCCTTCCTAAGTGGAAAGATATTTTGTTCTTTTTGCCTGCTTCTCATTTTCTTTTCTTTCCTGGCCCAGAATCCTTCTTTCCTTTGCATAATAGCAAAAACAAATCACTGGGGCCTGATGGATTACATTCGAGAGTTTTAAAGGAGCTGGCAGAGGTCATCTCAGAACCACTGCACCATATCTTTCAAAAATCCTGGAGCACTGGGGAACTACCAGAAGACTGGAAAAGAGCTGATGTGGTTCCTATCTTCAAAAAACGAAAAAAAAAAACCAGACCCAGGAAATATAGACCAATCAGCCTAACATCAATACCCAGGAAGATACTGGAAAAGATAATAAAAAGACAGATCTGGATCTAAGTCTACATGGAGGGAAGTAAGCAGTGGGGTGCCACAAGGTTCCATCTTAGACCCAGTACTCTTCAATATCTTCATTAACGACTTAGATGAGGGAATAGAAGGGGAACTTACCAAAATTTGCAGATGATACTAAGCTGGCAGGAATAGCTAACACCCAAGAAGATAGGCTCAAGATCCAGATGGATCTAGAACACTGGGCCGTATCTAACAAAATGAAATTCACTGTAGAGAAAAGGGAAGTCCTCCACTTAGGCAAGAAAAACCAAAAGTACACATATAGACTGGGTGAAACCAGGCTCAATAGCAGTAACTGTGAGAGGGATCTTGGAGTCTTAGTGTACAACCAGATAAATATGAGCCAGCAGTGTGCAGCAGCAGCCAAAAAAGCTAATGCAATCCTAAATTGTATTAACAGAGGGATACAATCAAGATCAAGGGAAGTACTAATACCGCTCTATAAAGCCTTAGTAAGACCACATCTAGAGTACTGTATCCAGTTTTGTTCACCACATTATAAAAAAGATGTTGAGACTGTAGAAAAAGTACAGAGAAGCACAACCAGGATGATTAGGGACTGGAGGCTAAAACATACAATGTACGGTTGCAGGAACTGGGCTTGGCTAGTCTAGTAAAGAGAAGGACCAGGGCAGACATGATAGTGGTCTTCCAATATTTGAGGGGCTGTCACAGAGAGGAAGGGGTCGAACTATTTTCTAAAGCTCCTGTAGGCCAGACAAGGAATAATTGATGGAAACTGAACAAGGAGAGATTTAACCTGGAAATAAGGAGAAACTTTCTGACAGTGAGAACAATTAACCAATGGAACAGCATAGCCTCGGAAGCTGTGGGAGCGCCATCACTTGAGACTTTCAAGAAGAGATTGGACTGCCATAGGGTCTCCCGCTTGGGTGGGGGTTGGACTAGATGACCTAACAAGGTCCTTTCCAACTCTGATCATCTGTTATCTGTTAAAATCTTGCTTACTTGATGTCTTTCTGATCCTCATCTGGCAGAGAAACTCCAAAATGGGCAGTGAGATCCAGTCCTTCTCAGCTGTCTCTTCCTTCTTCACTCCAGCCCATCTTATTTATTTTATTTTATTTATTTATTTATTTAGTCAAACTATTATTAGATAACAGGTATAAGTATAAACATGGTTATAAATACATGAAATGGAAACAAATAAAAAAAGGAAATAATAGGACAGGGACGGTAGGCATGTTGGTGCTCTTATGCATGCCCCCTACAGACCTCTTAGGAAAGGGGTGAGGTCAATAGTAGACAGTCTAAGGTTAAAGTTTTGGGGGTTTGTGGAAGAAACCACAGAGTCAGGTAGAATATTCCAGACACTGACTACCCTGTTGCTGAAGTCATATTTCCTGCAATCAAGTTTGGTGCGGTTTATCTTGAGTTTGTATCTATTGTGTGCTCTTGTATTGTTTTGGTTAAAGCTGAAGTATTCATTGACAGGTCATACATTGAAATATGTAATTTTATGTACTATACTTAGATCAAACCGAGGGCAGTGTAGTTCTAGGTTGTCTAGGTCTAAAATTTCAAGTCTGGTGGCATAAGGTATTCTGCTAGGAGTAGAGGAGTGGAGGTCTCTTCTTGTAAAATATTTCTGGACTTTCTCAATTTTATTAATATCAGATATGTAATGCAGGTTCCAGACTGATGAGCTGTATTCAAGTATTGGTCTAGCAAATATTTTATATGGTCTAGTTAGTAGAGTGATATTACCGGAGAAAAAGCTACGCAGGATTAGGTTAACAACAATGCCTTTTTGGCTATGTAGTTACAGTGGGCTCTAGCACTTAGGTCATTTGAGATGAGTACTCCAAGATCCTTGACAAAGTTTGTGTCATCAGCAAGGTCTTGACTGTTCAGCTTGTATTTTATTTTCTGATTTTTTTTACCAATATGTAAGACAGAGCATTTATTTGTTGAGATTTGAAGTTGCCATTTGTTTGACTATTCTGACACATAGTTGAAGTCTTTTTGAAGAGTAGCAGTATTGTCAGTGGTGTTGAATAGCTTTATATCATCAGCGAAAAGAACGCAGTTGTTCTTAATATGATCACAGATATGTATCTTCCCTAACTAAGCCTCATTTCACAGTCTCTTTACAGCTGTCTTAGAAGCAGGACCTGCCATGGTAAAGGATTCTCATAGGCAGCACTGCCAGGCCTGATAAGACTTTGAGGTGCCAACTGCACAGTCCAGTGGACACAACCCTGCTGAGTTAAGCCTGGGAGAATCGTGACCTAGACTGTGCATCTATGTAGTGTCTGGCATCAGGACCTTCCTAGATAGGAACCTCAGTGCCTACAAAGTATTGTTTAGGTCAGGAGTGTCAAACTCACATCGTCATGTGATGTATCAGGACTTTCCCCCTTCACTAAACCGGGCGTGGGCATGGGTGTGGCCAACACATGACGCATCCGGCCCATGAGCCAGGAATTTGACAGGCCTATAGAAAATGACTTGGAGATCTGCATGTGTCTTATGGATCATGCTTGAGACTCTTGCCTTAACATTTTAACACAACAATAACATAAATTCTTACCTGATAAAAATAATTCTTCCTGTGCCTTAGCTCTAGCTTGGTCAGAAAAGCATCTTTTCTTCAACCATTCGGCCTCAAATTCACTGGTGTGGTCATCTGGCCATACAATATTTATCTTCTTCCATGAAATAGAAACAAACATTGAAAGCCATGCATTTATATTGTCTGTAGCACAGTCTGAATAGCACTTTATTCAAAATTGTTTCATGGAGTTCACTTGGCCTTGTAAAGAATGCAAAGCCAAGTGAATTCCACACAAGTGAACGTCTTGTACCTTTGCAGAGAACAAAATTTAACAGACACTACAGCAAGGTTACAAGATGAAAGATAACTGGCTTGGTAAAAACACTTGTTAACATTTTTTGGGAACAGCAGTAGACTTCAGAAAATATTGACTAGCTGTGGTGGCAGAAAGATAGATTTCAGGGTGCATCAACAAATCAGGGGAAGTGCTGTCTGCTTTGGCCCAAATACCTTGAGTCACATGATTTTGTGTTATGGTTTTATTTTGCTGTATTCAACTGTACATACACATAAACTCTTTCACCTTTTTCTGTTCTGTCAAAATGACATCCTTCACCTTGATATTGACATCTAGATTTTCCAGAAGCAGTTTGCGTGCTTTAGCAGAGTGTAGGAAACAGTCTGGGCACTGGCAATTGTCTCGTAGCCACACTGAAGGGTAAAGGCTCTCACTGCCATCTTCCCAACGAACACAGATAAACTGTTTTTTCTCTAGGGTTTCCACTTTCTGGATAGTTGTGTCGCTATTAAAGGTCTGAACTGCCTGCACTATCCTTGCTGAAGGTAGCCAAGGTTTACTGCTCAATGAAAAATACTTTTGATAACTCAGCCTGCCCTTTGGTATTCGCAGCAAAATTCGAGAGCAGTCTTCATAAAGCTTTGTCCTTAACAAGTTTTTAGCAAGTAACATCCACATTTTACTTTCACTTGCTTGGTCTTCCCTTCATCAATGCCTTCTCCTATGAAAGTTGTCTTCCATCAGTTCTGTAAAAAAAATCATTTGAATGGTTAGAAAGAAAAAAAAAGATTATATTTGAAGGAATGTTTCTTCTCTTTTTTCAGTAATTTCCTACCTCCTACTACCCACCTTATCTAATAAAGTCTCACTCACTGTATTCTTGAAAGTTAATTGCATCTTATTCAAATAAGGAATGATTTTTGAATACTGAGTACAAAAGTATTTTCCCCTAAATAACAATGTTAGGTATTTTCATTAATTTAATGAAAGAGAGGAATTGAATGCCCTATGGATAAATCAATGGAATATAAATTCAAATGATAAAAATCCTGGAAACTAGGCATCAAGCATCTGTATCAAAATTAAATACCTGTGGTAAAGCTGTACATTGATTCTTTTCCTTGTCACTTCCCTATATATGTTAACTGCTTTGCTTGGTAAACTGAATCTTCTCTCTTCCCATCCATAATCTCCTGTTCTCCTGTAGCTGTGAATGCTGCACTGCCATCTCAGAAAACAAAGCTTTTCTGAGAATGTGAAATTAATGACACCAGAGACCACTGAATAGCTTCCTTGACCTGGTTTCTTTCAAATGTGATGGATTTCCATAATTAATACCTTTTGCTTGGGATTCCCTCCCCAACAAAACCACAACTGAAAGTCTCTGAACTTATACTCAGTGAGTTCTGTTTTGAAGAAAAACCAATACTAGCTTATGAAAAATTATCCATATGCTTGTGGGGTAGGGAACTCAATAAATTATTGGGGCAGAACATGACGATATGTGTAAAGACTCATAACAATATATATTTTAATAATAATATACACTACAGAAATGAGATCAGACACCTGGAAATTATTTAATCATTGTTGATTTTTCTGTATGTGCATACAAGAAGACAATTTTATATCTTTCTACACTTATAAATGCACCCTTTCTTACCACACACATGCAAGTAAAAACATGCATACAATTGGACTTCCATCTCTACAAATGCTTGACAGTCAAACATGCTGAAGGAAATGCCATGTTTTTTCCCTGAGCTGCCTCCTTCATTCATACATACCTGGTTCCTCTGTCCCTGTCCACCAACTATTTTAGAGTTGTAAGTGTCAAAATTCAGAGATATGATTTTGAAGTTTGGTGATTAAGCTCCTTAAAAAAGCAGGATACAAAATTGGATGACTGGAATGGTGGATGACAATTTCCTTGGCTCCAGCTTTCATTAATACTGTGCTCTCTGTCACTGAAGCACCAATGGATACCAGTTGTAACTGCTGAGGAATCGGGATATCAGCTTGAAATATGGATTCTTTCTCCCAAAGCAATTTCATATCTTAAACATAGAATTCAATACTCAAAAATCTGCTGGTTAAACTAAGCTAAATTTAAAGTTTCTTTTTCTATAGGAAAATTTGGTTTGGACAACTTCTTAAAGTTTGATAAAGCAATCTCAGCAAGATTTCTTTATCTATAATGAAACCTTTTTACACTACCAGTCTAGTATTTTATGATTTTTCTGAATAAAACTAAATATTAATTGGGTTTCTTCTTAAATAAAGATTAATGAATAAGAATAGTCTTATTCAAAAGGAATAAACAGTGTTTAGGGCCATCAATTGAACAGAAAGCATGTATATGTTAAAAGGAAAAAAAAGTAAAACAGATGAATTATTCAGTCATTTGGATTGCCATATTTTACTCATCTCTGGGTAGTGATCTTTACTCCAGACTAGCAAAACTACTTGTACATAGACTTAATCCACAGTTTTATATTTCATAGCCTGTAATTTATTCAGATTCCTGACCTGAGGGATGATTCATATCTGGTTTTCAGAGTTGCTGAGAACTTACCTCCTCTCAAGTAAGTATTGACTACAGCCTGCATCCAGCTTCCAGTCCTCTCCCTAGCAGCTTTCGTAAGCCAAGTGAAGCAGGCCATCCAATCCACAGATGCAGAACTGAAATCACAGAGAAGCTATCCACTTTCTTGAGATTCACAGACTCAAAATACCAGACTGGTCTTGTGATTAAGACAGGCTAAAAATCAGAAGACTAGCTCCGCCTTTGGGCCAGTCATGCTCTCAGCCCAACTCATCTCATAGGGTTGTTATTGTGGGGAGAATAGGAGGAGGAAGGAGTATTAGTTAGATTAGATGCTTTGAGTTATTTAGAATAGTATGGGCAGGAGAAAAAATAAATAAATAACACCCCCACAAAGGTGGCAAAATGTAACCTATCCATCCATCAATCTGTACTATCAATTTCCAAGTATTTATGGTTTATAATTTCTTTTAAAGATTCAGAGTATTCAGTGGTCCATCATCACATTAATTTCTTACGGTGTTAAATGAAATTTATGGTTTAGTCATCTGCAACAAGCCAAGGGAATTGATTAGAAATCACAAAGTGTGAAAAAATTATCTCTTTATATTAAAATATTACATATCATATTACTCTGAGATACATACATTTACAAAAATGGAAATAACTCTATGGTGATATACATTTTTTAGGTTGTGTCATAGAAAACCTGTTTCAAATTTGCCTGATTATACAAAGTTCCATTTAATGTACAATATCAAGTCAATATATCTATTAATATTATTTTTAAGTCGTGACTTCTTTTGGCACAGAATTCAACTTTCAGCCACGAACTTTTCCCCACTATTAGTCTACTGTGAAGGCCAACAGGAGCAAAAATTAATCAACTGCCACCAGTCCTCATAAACTTCATAAGTTTATGTAGTGCTCAGAACTTCATAATCCTGAATTTAACTGCAGAATTTGAAAGGGCATTTCAATGTTCCAATTTAATTTATTTTTTGATCTTGTGATGGGTCTCCAAATACAGTAGGCATTTCCTGCATTCATTGCATGGCTGCATATTTAAATAGGGTATCGCTTCATTTTTCCGTGTGGATGTTTACTGATTGAAATAAAATCAATTGCACTCACACAATCGTTATATAAATATCTGTTTTACATAAACTTTTGCTTTGGATGCAGAGATAGTTAGCCTATTACGTCTCACGTATGACATACTTAAGACTAAGCTCATAAACGAAACAGGTTCTTATGAAATCCTACCTGCTTTACACCCATTATTTCCAGTCTCATACAGTGGCCAATACTTCTCCTGGCCAGGCCGAAAAAGGTGGTCACTCTCGGTCCCGATTGCCCGGCGGACAAACCGCAGCTAAACTGGGGAGACCGCCAACGTTTCTACACGTTGTAAGAGCTGCGCGGTGCAGCTTCTTTACTTTCGGGACAATCGGCAAAGGGCCGTGGCCAGTTCTTGTTTTGACAGGGCAGAGAGAAACCGGTGCAGCAGACGCAGGATTGTAATAACGCAAGGATTGGAAAGTAGGGCTAAGGTCAGCTCTCGGGCTCGGCCGCCCATAAAAATTATAAGTAGCAACTGTGAAGATCACTAAAGGAAGAGAGAATTGCACGTACACTCAACTGAGCCTTTGGGGGATTAGCGTAAACCTACGCACGCATTGCACCCTGGGACATTGAGTAGGTTTGTTGGCCTTTGGCCACCGGTTATTTATAATAATATATGCGGAGCGGAGGCAGAAAGATGTCCCATCAGTGTCAATGGAGCGAATCTTCCCTGCTCAGAACACTCTGTGGCAAACGAGGCACAAGGCTGCGGCCTCGGGTCTCGCGTGTTCAATCGATTACTTAAGGGGATTCCCGAGAGGTTCCGACCTACTGGAGCGTGTTCGACCTGCTCCTGTTCCTGTCAGCAATAAGCTTTCTAATAGGAGTACTGTAACACCACCTCTTCCGCCTTGGAGGGCAGGTGGCATGAGGGCAAGAGGGTGGCTGCAGCTGGCTTGGGAAAACTGGGGAAGGAATGAAGGGAACGGGGAGTTTTCTCCGGCATCTGTGAAGGCTGGCTTTGCTGCACAGGATCTCAAGGCAGCATTTGAAACCGGTTCTGCTTTAAAGTATTGGGGTGGTAGTGGTGAAGTGGAGGGTAGGTAGAGCAAGAGAGGAGATGAAGAGCAGCGGCTGTTTTCTCTGGCCTGCCTCTTTGTTTTTTAAGAAGTAGTCAGAAATGACAGCCTGCAGCAAAAAAAGTATGTGGGGGAGGACTTTCCCTGCATCCAAGGAAAGATAAGAAGCAGCTCCTTTTCAGCCACAGCCCTGTCCTTTCCAGTGGGCTGCATTTTATTTAAAAATAAACATTGTTGAAACCTTTTACCACACATTTAATATATCATCTGGTAAGTTCTGAATCAATCTTCCCCAGATTGGTGTCTTGAAAAATGGATTCAATTTTAATTATCTTAAGTTTCATCATCCTCAGCTACTATGGAAGCAGTGTGAGGATTATGAGTGGTCCAACTCATTTGGAAAGCACCAAGTTGAGCAAAACTATCAAATCTTTCCAAGTATTGAAAATGATTGATTATGTGACATCAAGTTATTGTCAGTTCTTAGTCACTGTGGATATACATTCTGAAATCTGAACTATAATTATCACTTGTGGGTTTCTGATCAGTCCATAGCTTATGTTTTCAACAATCTATTCTTGGTGAACTATGAGGGCTATCCACAAAATAGATTACGTTTTCGTCTGTAGCAAGAAGGGGTGGAGCTAGCGTGGCCATCTTTGGTCTGTGCGTGCGCCACTCAGTCTGCATCTAGTCGTGCTAGTGGGAGGTTCGTATCGTTGCCCGTTATTTCACAGCAAATGTTTGAAATGTGTGCTGCAATTGAAAATCCCGCGAGTTGTGAGGGGCGATCAGTGATAAGGTTTTTGTTGGCAAAAAAACCATAAACCGATTGAAATTTCCATCCTCGTAAGAAAAGCAATTCAGAACAAGCGTAGAGGAAAGTTAAGCTCAAAAATTTTGTTTTTGCATGACAATGCCTGACCACACACAGCAAATCGCACTCGAGAAGTCCTGAATGCTTTCAAGTGGGAGATTTTTCCTCATCCACCCTACAGCCCTGATCTTGCACCAGGCAGCTGAATTTTATGACAATGGAATTACAAAACTTGTTCGCCGCTATGATAAGTGTCTCAGTTTGTTCAGTGAATATGTTGAAAAGTAGTATTTAAGTGTCACTTTCAAGTGTATATAATAAATTTTTTTCCCTACACTTTTTTTTCTATCGCAAAACGTAATCTATTTTGTGGATAGCCTTCGTATATTAGCTTCCTTGAGTGCTATGAGAATTAATTCAAATGCCCAGATTGTTCATTTTGAAAGATTTCTTAACCCCATATTAAACTGTGCTTTAATTTGATACGATTAAAGCAGGCAATGATCTCTCTAGGTAGAATCTTGGAACTGGATTCAGAAAGCTTATGTCATGACTCCATTTCATTTCTAAGTATAGCTGTGTTTGTAATATTAGTGCTGAACAGAAAGAGTAAAAAGGCAATATCAGCAGATTTCTTTCTTTAGCCTTTGGAACCAATTGCTTCACAATTCAGAAAATGTGATTTGTGTTATCCGTTATCTAGTTTATTGTGTATTGTCATGCAAATGAAAATAGGAATCCTTAAGTTACTATTAATTGCACATTTGTTCCAAAGAATAGTAAAAATGGAGATTATTTTTGACCAGAATTGTATAATCTGAGGGATTGTGGTAGGGGAAGAAGAATTCTATTAAGTGGTATGAAAGAGAGAATGGAGAGGATGCGGAGAATAAAGAAAAAGTGATTGGGCCTTTTAGAAGCCCAAGAATGAATTAAAAGGGTGACTGGTGAATACAGTATCTGATTAGAAAAAGATATGTTTGTTTCAAATATGTGGCTTAAGCATGTCTATTGTTCATACAAGACAACAAAATGAGTACAACAAGTTCCCGAGTTCCCTGCCCTAGTTTAAGGACAATCCATAGTTAAGAATAGAGGCTACTGTAGCAAAATTCAAGTTAAATACACAAGTTCATTGCTTCAAGTTCATCACACAATGCTACTTATTCAGTATTATACAATAATATTGTTCTGGTTTATAATACTAAAATTTTGAGAATGGAACTTGTTCTTAAACTCTGGACTACCTGAACAATTCTAAAAGTGTGATTGTGTTGATAGTTTATGGTGAAAAATTGAGAGAATTAGAGCAGGATATTAATGCAATAAAAGGTTATGAATGCATTATTTTATAATAGCAAAAATGGATTCTGGGAGGACTGGCCATAGAAGAAGTGGAAAGAATAAAAGAAGTTAAAATTATAGAACTACTCCAAGAAAGAGATTGTACAAGTATTGATCCATATTAGAGTACAGATTCTGATCTTGAATCTTTGGAAGAGTACAGTATGACAGCAGGTATAAGTGATATAAATAAAAGTTAAAATATGGATGTGTTTTGTTATACAGGATCTGTGTGTCAGGACTATGCTGTATCTATGCCTCATGATAGGAAAATGATGTTAGTGTTATTTGTGAAGTGTGCCTGTATTCAGTATAATACTGATTGAAAGGTGATAACAAGAATTGGGAAGTATGGGTTCATTTTATGTCTGGCAGGGTGTGTGCAGACTGAATTCTGCTGTTCATCAGGTCACTGAGAAATAAATGAATGTGAGAAAGGAAGTTTACTACATGTTTGTTGAGTTAGAGAAAGCATAGGATAAAATGGATTTAATTATGTTTTAATTATTGAATATTTTGTGCAAATGTGGAATTGAATGCAATAAGAGTAGCTAAACTGCTGAGTGTAATAAGAGTAATATATGATGGAAGTATACATGAGAATAAATAAAATGCTTAAAAATAGTTAAATATTGAGCAAGGATTAAGATGTAAGATATTCTCTTGATAATTTAATGCACTTACTGATACATTTTTATTTGTACAATGATATTAGAAGTGTGTTGGCTGGGAATGTGGATCTGTAAGTACTTTTGTGAGTAGAGGATTCTGTATTGTTGGCTAGACTCTGAAAGATTTGCAGTGATAGTTTGGTGATTTTATGATATAATAAGCAATATAGATCAGAAACTTATGTCAAAAGATAAATCACAAAACAAATATCTAGAAATGTGTATGGTTCTAAAAGAGGAGAAGACCAAGAAAATTTGGTTGGATGAGGTTGATGAACTCTAGAAACAGACAGGAGCAATAAATGTAAAGAACAAAAGCAATGTATGACGCATTGTTTGAATTTAGTGGTCAAGAGTGGTTTGTAAAAATAGAAACTGATGGACAGATGTATTAAATAATGTTGGTTTTAGGCATATTTCCCTTTTCTTATTGCATACTTATGTTTTCTTTCTCTTTTTCTGCTATTCTGCATAATTTTACAAAATGCAATAAAATGAAAGATGGTGTGACCATAGTATCCTGAGAGTTTTAAAAAAAAATTCTGCAGCTTTTTTGCACACAAGCTGTTCAAGTAATATAGTCTGAAATGTTTGCTTGACATTGGATGAAAAGTATAGAGTATTTGAGATCCAAATGGAAAAGAATGTTATCCAACTGAAATTGTCTGCTCTCTTTTAGATTACATAATTGCTCAGCAGAAGTATGACTAACTATGATTGCCCTATTTTCAAAACGAGTATTTTAACTAAAAATATCTCGAGTAATACGTAATACAAATCTGGAATTCATTTCTTTTATAGTAATACACATTTTTGTTGCTGATACAATATCATTTTACTGAAACATTTAATATTCAGTTAATTTACTGATTACATCAAGCCCCCAGGTTGGCCATAATTAACTAATTAAACTGAAGTACATCAAGTTATTATTTTATCCTGCATTTTATCTTGGGCAGTAATCTAAGACATCTTCAGCTATGTGTGTTTTTGAAGTAATTTATTGTGCTTTTTCTGCTGCCTTTCCCAAAGGTTAAGATGACATAGTTTATCCTTGCATTTCCTTTATATGTTCATACTATAGAAGATAGTTAGGCTGAACAGGTTTTTGAAACCTGATTATCTACTAGAATATCTCCTTATATTCTAATATCACTGACTCTTAAAAGGTATTCACAGATATAACTACTTCTCAGCATCTGGTTTTCATTCAGTGAAATATTTTTACACTATTTTTTTAAAGTGCTACTGTATTTAGAAATCCCAGCTGTATCATAGTCACAATGAATTACTATATTAGATAGTTCTTGCCTTATGACCACAATCGAGACCAAAACTTCTGATATTAAATGATGCTATTAAGTCATTACCTATTTTATGACTTTTGCCAGTCATTAACTGAACCAGGCCATTATCAAGCAAATCCAATTTCCCTATTTGCTTATTAGAAGCTGATTGGGAAGTTTGCAAAAGGTAATCATGAAATATTTCCTCAATATGCTGCAATTGTGGTAAATTCATGCTGGTTGCCAAACGCCTGAATTGCAGTTACGATTGCAGGGGCACTACAACTATTGTGTGAGAACCATTCATCACTTTTCAACACTATTATAACTTTGAACAGTACTAATCAAATGGTTACAAATTGTGCACTAACTATAGTCCCA